TCTGAATGCCCGTCGTAGACGGTGCGATATTGAGCGCAGGATGATCCTGGCACTACACTATTAGAGCCCTGGCTATGAGCCAGTAGCATTGCCTCAGAACGTACAGCGTGTACAGGGTCTTTTCAGGAGGTCCAGCGCTGCGAGAGGATTGCGTGCCTGTTGGCTTATTCAACGATTTGTATAAATGTAGAGGTTATGTTTTACAATTAATCGGAACACAAAGGTATAATCGTGGCCTATTTATAATCTTCTGTCTATTTGTTCCTATCATTATAGTGTCATTAACACGTCTTACAGAAAGGTGTATAGAAATAATTTGAAAATACATTTTAATGTAATTAAAATAAATCATGAAAATTCATTAAAAACTAACTTTAAACATAAAATAATAAACTTTTATGCGTCCGTTTTACGATGTGAATAAAACAAACGCATATTGAAGAATCCTGTCCGTACATCCACGTATTTCATCTACGAAATTTCTTCAAAATTTTTCATTGAAGTTTTTAAAGCATATTAGATAAAACCTCGAATGTCACATTCAGAAACGAATAGTTGTATATTTCCGATCATGAAAATAGCGAGTTACAGAAAATAAAAGTAAAACACGCCCTGATGAAGCAAGCACCCCTAGAACGTCAGTAATCGTCTACCCGCAACAAACCAGACATCTGTATGACTTATTTTGTTTACTCAGAAAGATTTCATTGTGAGGAACCCTTTTACAAATCAATTAAACTGATGTAAAAATAAAGCTCTTTGGAACTTACACATTTACATAAAATTTGTCATTCGATTTCGTTGAAGTAATACCAGCTCTCTCTGAAACCGCAACACAATTATTGAACATCCTCGAGATGTCAATACAGACAATTCGTGTTTCTGTTGACGCGCGGTCCATCTAGACGTTAATACACGCTTCGGTTGTTCATATCCGCGGTAGAAGTCTCGCTATAGAAATCATCGTACGGCTATACGGTGGCCCCCAGAAGCAATGAAGTGTCTGCATGGGTTGTCAGGGTCAAATATTTCATCACTCATTCTGGGTGGCAATATTTCGTCTCTTCTACAAAGAAATCCAAACGGATTTTGCGGTTTGTACAAGGTTTGTTTGAAATGTAATTGATTAAAAAATCTCTACAAATAAGTAATATACCAAATTTTGTAACCAATTTCAAAACACATAAGTGTTTCATATATTATTTTAAAGTTATTCAGACTTTGATTATATTAGAAAAAACACAAAAAAGAATAGTAAAGATCTTGATAAAAGTAGAAGAATAAAAAATTAAAAAATATATCGTAATAATTTTGTTGCAGAACCTTTACTGTGTTTTTCCTACTTTTATTTATATGGATTCAAAACACAGGGTTTAACTTAATTCCAATTCAGATGGAGTACCGCATATACTTCTAAGAGAAAAATTAATTATTACATAGAACTAGTCAAAAACACTTTTTCTCACTCCTAAAATTCATAACAAACACTTATCTGGAAACTATTTTCGATTATTTCGCCCACCGACAGAAATAACAGATATTCAAAAATACTGAAATTCGATAAAATGTTTTTTCTTGGATACGGTAAAATGTGACATTTAAGGTAATTATCAGGTTCGGAATTAATTTAAGGGTCTAAGAACCTTTCACATTAAAAAAATTCTCATTTTACAAAATATCATGAAGGGTTTGTCAGCCTAACAAAATTAAGAGGAAAATAAAATAACTGTACACGTATGATTAAATTTGCAATAACGGTTTTGTACCCGCAAAAAATAAACATAAAATTTAAACATATCTAAAACACACGTTCCCCAAACTGTAACAGACCACACCTTTTTTGTGTGTTGATACTCATCAATAACTACTACAGTTGATTCGACTTTAAAACTATTATCTGGGGATGTGTAGTACGCTATCCACTCGCCTCACATCGCCTGACATAACATCAAACTGAACTGCGCACAGTACGAAGGCTTCCAGAAGTGCTTACATAACCTCTGATTGTGTAATCCAATGATTATATCTATATTTATGGTTTTCGTTATGCGAAACCGATTTTTAACTGGGATATATAATCTTTCGTTGCAATAAAACTGCACGAGAGAGTAAGAAATTACATCGATATGTGGATTCTGTGCTCCTTTTAGGTATATGGGATCTGAGGTTTGTACAGTGGTGTAGATGGTGGTCTTCCGGGTTGTAACCCAGTGTGGACTTGTAGAAAGATACCAATGTTTCGGAGGAATATAATTCTCCCATCTTCAGGTATAGATATGGAGACTGTGTGTCCCTCCCAAGCGATGATATCTACACGGTGTTACAACCCAGATCACCAACATCGTGTTAAAGTTACGAATCTGAGCACTAAGCCATGAAACGTGTATGTTGGGTTGGGGGTAAGGATTTGTTACCACGTTGTATGTGGCCACCTTCACTGCCTACTGAAAATAAACACTACCAATACGTATTAACCCCATATCTTTCAATAAGGATGTATGTTCTTGGTTAGTAACGTCAAATGGGGGGATTATTAGATTACCTGTTTGTTCCACCTCCCTGCAATGATTTCATGTATTTTATTTTTAAACAAATAGTTCCAATAGAATAAAGCCTTTCTCTTAGACTGTGTTCTTAAACCATACCTTTACTAAATCCTTCGGAAATAATAACTATGGCATACTTGAGTAGATTTTGTACGTTTATAGACGTGGACATTTCATTAAACTTAGGGATACAAAAATTATAAAATCATATAAATCGACCAGTCAGTTAGGTTTACCGAAGATGTAATAAATCTTTAATTATTTTCATAGATATCGACAATTCTGGAAAAAAATTACTTCATTTTAAACATATCGAAAGTGATGTAAAGCATTAAAGTGTGCAAAAAAATCGTATATATTCTAAGATACGTCGAAACAGCTGGAAATTTAAATTCTCTTTTTAAGATACGGAAGATTTTAAAAGTTCGTAATTCATTACAAGTATACCAAATACTCTCGAAATGTTTAAATTGTTTTAATTCATAAAGAATATTTTTCTAGACTTTAAATAGTTTTTAAAGGTTGCAAAAATCCGTTTTACGGGTGTTGAAAACACCTTCCAGTATCTGGACTAACTCGACACAAAATAAATTCCCCAGAAAATACATATTTCAACATAATATATTAAATATTTCTAATTGTTTTGGTTATGTGGTAAAAATAACCCTGTACTATAACATTGGTAACATCGACTTAATTATTTTTCCATTTATTTGTTCAACCCCGAGTCAGGAGTCGTAAGGATTAAGAGAACGCTGGGAACTAATATTGGTTCGTGTTCTAAACAGTAATTGTACCACTGCACGATTAACTCCGCCCTGAGTCCCGGAATGGAAATTACAGTGTTCCACCGACCAGCAGAGTCTTTAGACGGAAATATCTAGGATAATAACTTTCGGGGGCAATGCAAGTTGCATAAGCACCGTTTACGATCGGCGAGAAGTTCATTTCTGTTTCTTACTTCCTAACGTTGTATAAAATGTTCACTCGTTCTCAGCGAATTTTTATAAAAAATGCGAAACACAACTAATTCGGCAAATAAATCTTACTGAGAGCCTATTAGATAATCTTTGTCTGACCGTCTGTATTTATAAAATATCTCTAGAACGGCTGAACGGATTTTAATGAAATTTGATATTGATGTCATGTAATTACAGGCTGCTCTAGACTAGTAATTAGTAATTGTTTACAATTGATATTAGTAAAGTGATGAATGCTCATACTATTGAGGGAAGGGGGTGTGAGACACTCCATGGTGACGTCATTAACTATAATTATCTGCACCCCTAATGACGTCATAATTTCAGCTACTGTCATAACATATGAAGTAAACACTGTTACTGCTGTTTGTTTTCCATGGTTAGCAATGCATGGGCCGTGATCCTTCAGTGTTACGTCTGGCAAAAGTCAAATTCTCTTGAATGCGCCATAAATGTGACGTTATGCGCACGTTTGTGCTTTTGTTTAATATTACTCAAGTAAAAGTAATGCTACTACAACAAATGAGTTTGTCTGGTATCCTTCTAGCTTAAGATGTAAACATTCTTTAAGACGGTCCAGACAGAACATAATTTAAAATTCTGATAAATGTGAAATTCCATTGACTCATGGATATTTTAGAAGGATGAAAAATTCCCGTATTCTCTGCGAAAACCAGCTTAAAGAACAGACAAAGAACCTCGAACTCTATTAAAATACTGCCCTTCAACGATGTGTATTGTTAATGTAAAAATTTATTATATTTCGGAGACTAGCTCTGTCTTATTCAAGCTTTTCTGTTACTTTCCAACGATAAATTATTATTTCGGAGAAAACCAACGCATACTTCCGTAATTATCATAAAACACAATTTTAGCTTGGTGATTAAATCTGCCGAAATTGTGTGAAGGACTGAAGACACGCAATGAATCCTGTATAAATTTAGACGGTTGATTAAAATTAAAATAAAACATGCCTCTGTCAGAAAATAGGTGAACCTGTGTCTCCGCGGTCAGAAGACTGTGATTAACGGCCTTAATTATGGTACGGCCTACTTTAAATTATTGAAAAAAATAGGTAAGAAATACGAAAGAACGGACGAGAAAATAACAAAAATCTGTAGTAATATACAAGAAGAAAAAGGGAAAAGTTATTGGAAGTAAACTAAAATTCTGCGCTGCTTATTAAGAGCTGAATGTGCATACGTAAGCCAAAGTGCTATACAGGGTGTTTTAGTAGAACACATTTGTTGTTTCAATCATAAATTTACAGAATATTCAAAGTAAAATATGTAAGGGCCGATGATAAAGAAAAGTGTGTGAATCGGAAACATTTAGATTCCTCGGATTTCTTTACAATTAGGTGTTAGTTCATGATGATTCTCAGGAACACATTTTAGTATTCGTTGAGGTAAAGGCTAACAATATGTAATTAAAGTAATAATTAGTTTCAAGTGACGATATTTCTGTCACTTACCGTCGGCGAAGACTGGTAGCAGGATGACGAGCATCCAGGGCCACCCACCTCTGCTATCCGGACCCATCACAGGGGCAATTAAAGCCCGGAAAGTGAAGCAGGATTACACGGAGGTGAGTCAGGGGCCCATACGGCAAGAGGCCCCTTCCACAAGCACCCGCATCCTACGAGACAAAATTAACATTATGCTATAGATCAGTTCGAATGGACATCAAACTGGCGGCGTGAGAACTAAATCACAGAAGAAAATTGAATTAAAACAAATTAATTTCTATCAATATGGAGAAGAGATATTTTGACATAGGATATCCCAGGATATTTAACAAATTATAAACGAAAAACAGTTTCTGATTTTCTGCTGGACGATCTACACACTAGACCTACAGATTTATGCATGCGATGACGAATAGGGAGGATATGAAAATTATATATATTTAATAATCAGGCTGGGTCTCTCACACAAATATTAAAATATCAAAATAATCAGTGCCCACTGTCTTACGTTTATATAATATACGCGACGTTTCGATAATATAATATTGGAACACCAATTAAACCACTGTCACATACTTTTAGCTGTTCCATTGTACTTAATACAATGTAGTAATTCTTTTAGTTTAATTAACGAGGCACTCTCAACTAAATATATTACGTAGGATTTGAATTATGAATTATGCGGAAGGAAGTGATCTTGGCTTATTTTTTTTTTTAAAAAAACTGGCCTATAACTTTATTTTAGCCTCTAAGGAAAAGCACAAAATGCATAAATTACGTTAACTGGTATTAGGGTTGAGAATAAAAACTGAAAATTCACAAGTACCAAGCAAGACGAACCATAACGTCCAAAATGAGAGACAGCGAACACACTGCCACTTGAATTTAACGTTCACTTATTGGGGCAAACGGCTGACTGATTTTAAACCAACATATTTTGGCTTAATCCCATTGACAGGGATGGTGATGGTACAAATATTGACAATACTTCAGCCTAAACTTTGATATGAACAGGATTTGTACATTTAACGTATACTAGTGTTTTGGATGAAACTTGCTTTTGTCGGGATTTTAATTACGTATACAAATATAAGGCTGTGTTTGTATTACTGGTTCGTCATAATATTGCAACACAAGCCAGGACGGATTAGTGGTAACTCGCCATAATTGTATTACGTAGGAAACCGGTTTGATTATCGTACATGCACGTATAATATTAACATAGATTTATCGTTGTTTTCTTCAGTAATTCCAGGATAATTCTAGAATAGTAAATTAAATTATCATACTTCCTTTCTTATCTTTGACGTAAAATCGTAGTTGATACAGGATCGTTGTATACGCAACGATAGTTGCAATAATACTTAGATTTTAGAGGGATGGACTGACTGGACACTGCAGAATGATGAACTTCATGAAATATTATTACGAATATAAAATAAGAATGTGATGGGCGGAGCATGTAGCGAGCATGGTGGAAAGTGAGACACGTGTACAAAATTTTGGTTCTAAAGCCAGATGGACAGACACCATTCGGAATACAAAGGCGTAAATGGGAGGATAATTTGGATCTCATTGAAAACAGGACTGAAGATTATGGATTGGATTCGTCTAGCCCAAGATAAGGACCAGTGTCGAACATTTGAGAACACGGTAATAAACCTCGATAAAAGATAAGAAATTTCTTTACTATCTGTGCGCAATATTAGTTTTTCAAGAAGGACTCTGATCCATGCACGTAGTTACAATTTATAAGCTGAAGATGAGATGTAAATTTAATTAGGTCAGAATAGGGTAAAATTGTGTGTCACTGTGAAAATAATGAAAATTTGTGTTAGACAATAATGAAAGATGTTTTAAAACTAGGTCACTTCAGCAAAGGCACTGCAGGAAGAAATTTAAAACATCAAGGTGCCTAAGTACATTCGTATTTAAATACTTGTATCCATTTTAATAAGAAATCTTTTGCAATTCTTTAAAAAATGCAACAAAAGATCAACATTTAAATTAAAACCTGTTAATATAGCATCTAACTAACAAATTGTTAACCGGCCCTGAAAACTGTAATATACATATCGAAACATATTGCCTTAATTAAACCAATACGTTATACAAAGTTAATATTGACATTTTAATATAAATAACTGTCACATAAGACATGCCGGTACAACAGAACACTTCAATAGTGTCATAATGCCTTCCTTAAACGCTCATAAGTTTTAATGAAATCAAGATAAATTAACCATATTTATTTATCATAGGATGTCAGTTAATAATAAATAGGTTGTCGAAGGAAGTGGTCGTGGCCTAGTTTAAAGTACTATACAGGAATTTGCCTGGAGGGATAGCCAGTTTCCGGACCGAGATTTGAACCAAGGACCCCCCGAATTCGTAGAAGGTCTACCAACCACTCGATCACGACTTTCAGTAAATTACGCGGAGGAAAATTTATTTGTCTCCATTTAAAGATGGTAACCTCAGTTGACGCACAATAGTGAGAAAATCAAATCTAATAAATTCAGTACTTACCGACATATACAATGGCTGTTTTAAAACGAAGTACGTGTTGTCAAGAACGTAACTTATACTATTTATAATTCATACAGCAATTTCGGAATACGATGTCTAAATCTGAACACTGTGATACTACGGAGAATTTGTTTGCAATTTCTTTCCCACTACACACAACACACAAAACATCCTGACTTGCTCAACTCAACTGCTTACCACAGCGATCTTCTACTGTTTTCATTTCCAAACGCGTAATACACAGAGCAGGGGTACCAACTGAAATGCAACACCCCAAACAGTAACAAACGAAAAAAAACCAATGGTCGTATCTGAACACGTCATCACGTACACCTGCACAGTCGACTTTTCAGGCGTAGACGTGTTATGATACTAAGAGGTTGACCTTGAAGCATGAAAATATCTCTAAGCAGTTGGCTGCGTGATAAGTGGTCTGAAAATAGTTGCTGTGACGTAGTATTCAATAAATCGTCAAGAGTAATCAATGTAATTGAGGAAACACCACCCAGGGAGAGAGAAGTTGATAAAGTATTTACAGCAAGAAGCTCCCTGCAGCGAACTTCTCTACGGGTTTTCATACTCTTTCAGTACGAAAGAGTTGTATCTTTTGATGTTTATTTCCAAAAGGGAAATTGCTTATGAATGTTGCTTCAGTTTTGTAAACCCTGGTCGGGATAAAATAATAAATTTCAGTATCTCGTAACATTTCCTTCAAAGGTGTGTTGCGAACTTAAAATAACGTTTAATAAATAACACCCTCTGTAGAGCGAAGACCTTAAAAATCGAATACTCGCTCATCAAATTAGTGTAACAAATTTCCCTTTTATGCAATACGAAGTTTCATTACTGTTTTAGCAACAGTCCGCCATTGGATGATATCGTGAATCACAAATTTATTCCGCATCCTCACATCCCGTTCCTTTAAAATACATTTTATTAGTATCTTTCCATTTACGACTAGATCTTCCAAGTTGTTTTTTCTCTTTAAGTCATCCAACTGAAGTTTTTATGTAGTTTCTATTTATTTAATGTGTACTACCTGTCTTGTTAATCTAATTTATCTTAACCTTATTATCCTATAAGCTTTAAATGACATTTTATCATTATATATATTAAATATAAATTATTAAAAATATCCTTTATCAAATATATACAAGGAGTTTTATAATATATTAATTTGAAACGCACATCTGAAGGTGAGGTTTGAATACGGGTTCGTAATTACACGCTTTTAGGATTTTAAAATGAAGGAAAACACCGTTCCTTCTATATTACATGTCTTAAGGCAAATTTTATTACTTTTTACTTTGAAATGCAACTAATAGTTGTAATATTCACGATAACCATTTAAAGAAACTCACATAGACGAATGTGCTCAGCATAACCTCAGGCTATGTTTGACTGTTCTGTTGAGTAACCTTATCAATTGATGCGTCGAAAACTCTTATAATTATAAACAATAGTTTTGACCAATAAACATGAATACAAACAAAATACTCAAAGACTATGACTTACATATTTTGTTCACGACGACATGTAGCCATAACAGAACAAAATAAATAAACGCCTGTGACCTCAAAAGAAATAGGAAAAATAGGTAGGTATTGCACCAGTAATATTACAGTAACCCTGTTTCTTAGAACATCTCCCTTAATATCTAAATGGATTCTTCTAGATTGTAGTCTTTTGTTATTTTAACACTTCAACACATCTCACTACTCTTTGTACTCAGAGTGTTTACACATCCGACCCCTTTACGCTTCTGACCAGCAAAACTTTTTTTGTCAAAAACAGATCTACTCGAAACAAACCATTCTCACAATCCATTGTTATAACACAGTAAAACCTAAGAATAACAGATAAATTTATAAACTACTAGGGACAAAGCCAGTTTTTACTTCGGGTTTCTATTGAAATAAACTGTACTAATATAATTATGGTACAGCTATAAGATATGCACTAAATTTTATCAAAAATAAGAATTCTGAAAATAGATCGATTTTGCCTTTAAAACTAGTTCGGTCGCATAACAACCAGACCAGAGACTTGGCGAAATTATTTATATATATGAGATACAGTAAATGCCTTCTCTGAAACAATAAATGTTTTGGCTTCTAATCGTAGCGTCTTGTAAATACAATTTGTCCTGACAACGTAGTTAAATGAATCACTAAAAAAATAAAATTCGTAAGAGACGAATCCGTAAAGCGAGACGCCACTAACGGTATGTGACTAACAGACAAATGAATCAACAGTTGGAATATCTAAGGTGACGGGAATGCGGAAATCAGGCGGAATATCAAGGTACGCAATTTTTTTTAGAGGCTCCAAGCTCCTGCGATAAATCTAGAGCCATTGCTTTCTCTCTGAACGGTTCTATCCTCTCTCCTAAAGTCTCCTTGTCGATAAATGCAGCGACAACTTCTCTTGAGAGAAATGAGAACATTTCTTGTGGCACAGTAGATCCGCTGTACTATCGCAACACGCTGCTGGTGGCAGTAATCAGTCAGCCTCCGGCAATGCTACTTTGCTTTCGACTTAGTCTGCATTCGAGATTACCCATTGTGTGACGCGTCCAGACGTACCACGTTCGAATCGCCGGTAGTATTTCTTTAATAAGTCATTCCTTTTATTTTTACCG